AGGCAAAATTGCATATTAATACACCACCTTTCATGTTTTTGCAATTTAATCACCACTTTTACAATTTTGCAAATTAATCACCACCTTTACTATTTTTTGCAAATCGATACATGGATGACGGTTCCGTTAAAAGAATCTAACGGAAACCTGACATGGCATTGACGTGGCTCAATGCCATGTCAGATTTTCGTTAACGGAACCGTCATCCATGTATCGATTTGCAAAAAAAAGTAAAGGTGGTGATTAATTTGCAAAATTATAAAAGTGGTGATTAAATTGCAAAAACATGAAAGGTGGTGTATTAATATGCAATTTTGCCTTAATTTTATGATTATCACCATCTTAAGTCGTGGTTTTGGTTTGCACCAAAAGTTACCACGCTCAATGGGAATTGGAATACGTTTCTTTTCCCAACTTTCGCTTTATATATTTGTCCTTTTCATGTAATTAATTAAAGTTAGTGGGGCTCGATGATATGACTATGAAACCCACTTTTAAAAAAGCACTTATTTAAATATTAGTTGGCATAGCAAATGAGTTTAGGCCATTGTTAATTTCACAATTTTGATATTTTTGTTCTAGAAATAAACCTATATATGTGGATAGCACTACGGTTTATCAGGAAATTGCCAAGCCAAGCCAAGGTATAGGCACTGTAGCCGTCAAAACAAGCTCAGTCCCACAAGCCGCCCCATCATGCTTATGTACAAATTGGCTGATAACTTGTAAATGAATTCTGAGGTTGAAAAGTTAACTAATATAATAAAAATATTCAAACATATCTCATAAGTCAATTGAATAGAAGTTTCTATTGGATTAGTTGAAAAATTATCTACTGAAGCTTATGAAAGATAAGCTCCAACTTTTACCGAATAACCCATTTGAATATATATGAAGCTTATAAGCTACACAAACATAAGCTTATTTGAATATATATGAAGCTTATAAGCTACACAAACAAGCTGTAAGCTTATGGTACTTACCAAACACACTGTCCAAGAATAAGTAATAATTATAAAATTTTCAATTTTACAAATAATGAGGGCAGAAATAAAGAAAATAAAAAGGAGAAGGAAGAAACAAGTTTGTATGCTTCAGTTCAGCAACAGCAACAAAGGGGGAATTTCATATTGCATCTCACAAAACTAAAAGATGAATGAGATAGCCACCCACACAGTTTGTACAAAATACTTCCTTATCCCAATAAGTTCGTTCAGTCATTTTTAACACTTTCCATTACACTTATATTTACATCGCACGATGAAAACGACGACTCTTTTTGCATAAATAGCCGTCTGCATAATCCACCAGACATAGAGGTTTAGTGACGAGCAACCTCTAAATTTTCACGAAAATTGATAAAAATTCTTTCCACACGAGCAGGAGTTTGTTCGAATAGCCACTGAGAAATATTCCCGGTTTTCATCCATCAACTTAACTTTTTTATCCGGTGATTTGGAACTTCCGAGCTTTTTTCTTGATGCTGCTCATAGTCTCCATCATAATAACCCATGTGTGGATCTACCAAAAGCCTCAAGGTGTCAAACGGGAACACGGCATTCTAAGAGGTGAAAAGACCACGGTTAGTCGAGCGTGGTCAGAAAGAGAGTAATCATCGGGCCACATTCCTTTCTCGACTTCTGTGGGGAAAAGGACTGCATTTTTAACACTAAATCCGATAGTTTGCTCAGTGCCATTTAAGACATTGTCACAAGACTCGACTCCTTGCTCGGATAGTGAGGCCTTCCATATCCGTTGCTGCACATGAAAGATTTAGGGAANTTCGATGTGAAAAAAAAAAAAAAAAAAAAAAAAAAAAAAAAACAAAAAAAGAAGATATCTACAGATATATCATATTTTGGGAAAGTTAATATAAACACCCCTCATGTAAAGTGCCTTTGCATCACATATGGTTGACTTAGTTACCAGAGACCAAACCTCAACTGTTTCTTTTTGTACTTTTGAAACTTTTCCAGTTTTGAGTAAGTACTCCAGTCCTAAAGGGTAGTTTATCTAGGTATCGTTTATACTTTTGTCATAAAGTTGAATGAACCATAAATATAGGACGAACACAAACTATCTACAAGATTTAGTCCGATTACAAAATGATTCATTATTTCAAGAGATCATGTAAATTGCAGAGTGAACACAAATCTCATTATGAACCTTAATGAGCAAATTTATGGAATAACCTTGAGTCTATTATACTAGCTGCTCGAATTATCTATATGATATTATCTTTCTTTGAAGCCCTCTTAATAGAAAGAGAACAGAAAACAGTGTGTCTCGATAAATGAAGCCAAGAGACGTAACAAAGAGACGAACCCGATACCTTAAATTCTTTATAGTCGAGCACGCCATTTCCATCAATGTCCGCCTGTTCCCACAGTTCCTGTATCTCTTCAGCACTCAATCCGTTACAATGGCCAATCAGATTAAGCTGTAAGGAAAACCAAGAAAACTCGATCAATATCCATAATATATGCAAATTAAGAAACCAATTGGCTTTNNNTTTTAATAAATAGAAATAATTGCTACCTACATGTCTCAATGCTTCACAGAAACCCGAATAGGTAATGTAATCCCCCTGGTCAGCCTTCAGAAAAGCAAAGGCATCATCCTCTGTCAATGATGCTCGTCTAAGTTGATACTGCAAAGACGAATAAGAGCAGCTTTACTAGTAATGAGCATATATGAACTGAAAGTCAAAAACAAAATAAACAGCTGTTATCAGGAAAACAAAGTTTTAATACAGCCAAATCTTTAGCCATTCTTTGAAATATAGACAAATCCAATAAAGCTCACCTTGAACATGCCAAATACAGCTTCACTCCAGCTATTTTTAAGCAGTTTCCTGTATCTGTTGGGATTAAGAAGCCATATGAAATCAACACCACAGATGTTTCCACGATGGTTGCGGTGGCTTATCCACTGCATAGGACAGCACATCAGATAACAGGAATTTTGTAAAGCAAATTTAACTAGAAATAGTAAGTGCCAAAAACTGAGTTACAATTGAAAACATTTACCTTGTGAGCATCAGCATCAGTATACTGATGAGCAGTATCATATGATGATACAAATCCTTGAGATCTAAGAAACTTGTAAACATGACCCCTCTTGCTCCCATTCCAATCACTGTCATTAATTGAAGGAAAAGAGAGCACCAAAAAGTGTTATATCATTGCATATTTACGAGGAGAGCTGTTAATTGTGTGAAGAAAGGAATGAAAAACATACCCGCACAGCAAGATGGGCAGTGGATTGAGCTTGTTTTCTTTCTGGTATGATTCCACATATCGCAATATTTTGTAGACCTATCACATAAAAACAAGAAAGAAAGAAAAATCAATGACCTATTTACACCTACAGATTAAGAATATTAACAACAACTCAATAGAAATTACCTGACGTAAACGCTCCAAACACAAACTCGAATTATGTGGAAACAATAAGTGAGTGTTTACTATAAGAATTTCTTGTCGGACATTATTGTTTCGGTATTGGGCGATGGGCGCAACCAATTCAACGTGCAAAAGCTGAGCAACACGGTCCCCAAAATCGTTGAAAAGTAGCTCTTGGTGGCTGATGATCCTAAAATAGTCCTTGTGCACAGCAGTCAGCAGACCTGGACGAATTTAAAAAAACAATAACTAAACATAAGAACTTGAAAACAAATCAACTGAGTAAAAAACATTACGTATCCTTTTGTTTTTCGTATGAGATTCCAATTTGAAATATGCGATACAGAGCAGAGCTATCGTATAAAAGGAACTGAGTTCTCCGTCCCTTTCCGAGGATTGAGCGTATGAGCGAAGGACAAACTTCTGGCTTGTCCGTAGCGGTGTGGAGGGGCTAAAAGTATAAACATATTTTGGCAAATCGATGAACATTTATTTGTGAACCCAAGCAATCATCAACAACAACAACAACATACCCAGTATATTCCCAACAGGTTGGGGTCTGGGGGGTACGCAGACCTTACCCTTGTAATTATACAAGGAGGTGTTTCCATTATTAGCACTATGTTGACAATTCTCCTGGCATAGTGCTAATAATGGACTAGATCAAAATGGCTCAATTAAATTCTAGTGTTTCTTCTATTACTGAAGTTTCTAGAAAAAAAATATATATCAAACGGCGCAATGCACCTTGGGTCGCTACGGAAACAGCCTCCTTGTATAATTACAAGGGTAAGGTCTGCGTACAACTGACCCCCCAGACCCCAACCTGTTGGGAATATACTGGTTATGTTGTTGTTGTTATTGTTGATGATTGCTTGGGTTCACAAATAAATGTTCATCGATTTGCCAAAATATGATTCTGATGAAATAGTTTCCTCAAAGACGATTGAGTTTCATTTGACCATGCCAAAATCACAACAGTTCTATCTTGTTTATGGGATATCCTTATATAAACTAATAATTCAAAAACAAAAAATCCTTAATTGTACCCTCTACCATGTAATCCTATGTTGACCTGTTTTACACCTACCAAAGATTCAAATATCTTAAATGCAATATTGGATGTATCAGCCAGCTTGGACATTTGGAGAAAATTCTCAATAAAGACTAAACAGAAAAGAAAATTTGTACCATATAAAATTATATAAACAATGCAGTGCTCAAGTGAGGTGGTCAAAATTTTGAGAATCAAAACAAATAAAAGTAAGGGTTTCAAATACCCCCGCATGTATAGAACAAACTGATAAGCTTGCAGAGTTCAAAAGTCAAAATCAAATCAAAATGTTAGTAATCCCACAAAAAGGCAATAGCCCACATACCATCCCCGCGGTTATTCGTCCGGGCAAGCTTAAAATTAACATAACCAGCATCACCAAGCCTCTTATCATATATATTCACCAATTCTTCATTCCCAACCCAAAATTCCTGCAAATGTTTCAGTGATAACACGCCTTTTAGCTTCATACTAATCAATCATCAACCAATTTACAGCCAAAAAAAGGCTTCAAATGAACCTGGAGACAGATAATAGAAGATCTTTCGCACAACAACCAATCCAAAATCCTCTGGTTCCTATCCAACCAATAATCCTTAACATCGCTTTCCCTGTAATTTGGATCCTGCAAACCACCCACAATGCACAACACCAAACATAACCAACAACAAACAGAATCAACCAAATAAACATTATGAAATCGAAAACTACCCAGCAAGAAAAATGTGAATAGAGCTATCATCATCAACAACAACAACAGCAGCAGCAACAACAGATAAAGAAATAGCCCTCACAATCTACAGATCATTGCGATATATAGTCATGCAACATATCAAACACGTGCCTCGTGATTGAGCCTCTTGTAAATCGGCGCGAGGATATTGAACGTTGTGCAAGAGACGCACGTTGGGTCCTTAATCGACGAGGCGATTGCATAGCTGCCGATTCTCGACACGCGGTCTCTGGTTATCCTTCCGCTCTTCCTCCCCATTTTGTGCTAAATTGTAATCGGATTAAACAACGAAAGGGAATACAAAAAAAAAAGGCAATTTACAGTAGAATTTGACGATTGCCTATGAAAACTTTGCAATGCTTTTTTCTATGGCAATTCAAACAACGGCTGTACGTATTAGAGAACGAGAGAAGATGGAGAGAAAATCGCTGAGCCTGTGCGTGTTATGTATGTGTGTGTTGTGTTTATTAATTTTTTTGAGGAATTAAGTGGGTAGTATTTATTGGCCAAGTCGGGTGTAGAATATACGGTTTCTGCATTATTTATGTTTTGTATGCTTCATATATACTCTTCCTTTATTATATTTATATAATAATTATCAATAATATAATTTATTTAAATATGTAAATTTAAATTCTTATTTGATTCGCCTAACTATTAGAGTTATCAACTGATATGAATTGTTCGTAAACTCGATTAGTTTAAAATTTATTTAGTTCTGAGTAGTTAAATTTATTTTATGAGAAAACTACTGCTAGTAGAAATATTTTTTTATCATTAGTGGTGTTTCACTTCGGATTGTCACTTTCGTAGTTTTATCCGTAATTGGACTCTTAATATAGCCATATAGGCATATCTAATAAGGATTAAAATAGAACTAGGGGATTACTTATGTAATAAGTTAGTTAGAACTTATGTACCATTTTTTTTTTTTTATTTTGGGATAAGTCTACGTTGTTTGATATAGGGTTGGAACAAATCTATACAAGCACCAATGCTTAATGCTTTTTTGTGTAATTAGTATTCTCCTCGCCCCAATTTCAAAGATGCTTTATTGAGCATCCACCTAAATAAATATTTATTCCATCTTATTATCTCTCTTTATTTTCTCTTTTAACAATACAATTAGTGTGAACTGGAGTTGTTTTAAATATGCTAGTTGCTCGTGATTTGTACTCCTCTAGTTAAGATTTAAAAATAAAGATTATGTATATATATGTTTTTTTTTTTGTTATAATTAAACTCGCTAAATCTTGAACTTGACTCATTAGATAACAAAGTGCATTCGATAAAAAGTTGGAACCCGAACTTGAGCTCGATTCAACTTAGGTCTATTGTGGACTGAGTATATTCTCAGTATAAGCTAATAAATTGTGAGAGTATTTATTCTATATGGATGGAATATTTGCGGAATATTAAAATTAATTATATTTTAACAAATTGCTAATTTTATATGAATATATTTTGCAAAAAGTAAATTATATTCTCGAATTTCATATGCGCATAATTTCAGGGGAATATCATATTTGACTATTCACTATATTATTTGTGACTTGTGACCATGGTAGAATATTTGTTCTTTTATTCTACAACTGGTATTCAGTAGCAGAGATGAGAATCATTATTTCAAGTTTCAACCACGAAATATGTAGGTAATTGACAGAAACTGGGGGAAAACGGGTGTGGGGTCACTATCATTAAGCGCACCATGGAAAAACGCGAAAAGCTCAAATGGGGTTCCATCCCAAAACCAATTGATGGAAAGAGGAGTAGCCCATTAGTCTTATAAGGTGAGTCTATTTTCCATATATGAATGATGTAGGACAACTCACAAGTGATATTCTAATACGCCCCCTCACTTGTGAGTCATTCGAAAGCCCAAGTCCCAACTTACAAGTGATATTCTAACACGCCTCCTCACTTGTGAGTCCTTCGAAAGCCCAAGCTCAACTGGCTGGGAAAAACGGGTACGTCATCGCACGGTCCCACATAGATCCGGCTCTGATACCATGACAGAAACTGGAAGAAAACGGGTGCGAGCCCACTATCATGAAGCGCACCATGAGAAAACGGGAAAAGCTCATATGAAGTCCAAATGAAGTTTTATCCCAAAATCAATTCGTGGAAGGAGGAGTAGCCCATTAGTCTTATAAGGTGGGTCTATTTCCATGTATGAACGATGTGGGACAACTCACAATTGATATTCTAACAATAACAGAAACTGGGGAAAAACGGGTGCGAGCCCACTATCATTAAGCGCACCATGGGAAAACGGGAAAAGCCTATATGAAGCCCAAATGGGGTTCCATCCCAAAACCAATTGGTGGAAGGATGAGTAGCCCATTAGTCTTATAAGGTGGGTCTATTTTCCATATATGAACGATGTGGGACAACTCACAAGTGATATTCTAACAGTAATTATAGTTTCGACCCATAGAATTTTCTTTTTGCTTATTTAGGGTGTGACTGGATATGAATATAATTTTTTTTTTTTTACTATAGGTAATTTTACAAAAATAGTTGAGGTAGGTTTGAGTAAATTCTGAGTTTAGATTAAAATAATATTTAAAATAAGATGATTAAATTTGATTTGAGGTGAAAATAGGAGAAAAATGATTGAAGTGATAAGTACTTAAAATTATGTGAGTGCATGATGAGTAATGAATTAAAGACGTCACAAATTATGTGAGTGCATGATGAGTAATGAATTAAAGACGATGTGACGTGTAAAGATGATTGATTTATATTATTTAATTATATTGATAATATTGATTAAAGTGAGTTTGATCGAAGTTGAATTAAATTTGCGTTTTGATTGTATTTTTTTTTTGTTAATATCCAATCACACCCTTAGAGATCTAAACGAGTAAAGTTCAAATTTATGATACTTGGATTCATCCTTGTTATCAATAAGAATTGAGTTCGAACTTGTAATAATTGAACTCAAACTTTATTAGTTGAAGTCGGGTTCGAGTTTCATTGATTCGAGCTGAATTTAGTTCATTTATTAATACGAGCAGAGTTCAAACTTTTAATAATTGAACTCAAGTTTTTTTTTTTTTTTTTTCTTTTTTTGTCTGTTATTCAAGTTGAACTTGGTTGGTTTATAAGAAGTCGAACTCCAGATATTTATACGCAAGATTGCTATGAGAAAATTCATTGAACAAAAAACGTGTTGTAGCTTTTGTTTTTTGTCGCTTTCGGTGACAATCCTGACTTGACGCGGCAGATAACAAATCGCATTATTAACAAAATTAGTAATCAGATAACTTTAATTACTAGATTTAGTCACTGTAATCTTGACAATGAAGCTAATTAAGATGTTAGTTTTTATCAATTGGCCCATAGTAATACTTTCTGCGGGCCACTGCCCACTGATTTTTGTATGCTTCTACAATTTACTACAAATAAATTCATGTTGTATAAACATAAAATCTAACATACTGCAATATAAGCTTTGATATAATAACTAGTACTCATTCCGTGCATTTTGCACGGAAAAGAATACTTAGAAAAAAAATAATATAAAAAGAAAAAATAAAAATACTTAATCATAATTTAATTCATGAAAAAGAAATATGAATTCAAAAAATGATTCTAAATATTATTGAACGCTTCGTTATATACAATGTTCATGGTTTCATATCAGAATCACCATCATCCCATATAATTATCTTCAAACACTTCCGATTCGTGACTCTAGAAAGTGTCCATGACTGAAAACAGAGTTTGTCAACATTAAACCGATGTGTGAGAGAGATTGGTCTTGACTCTTGTTGATCGTCATAGCATAGGAGACCATGATAGAAAATGGTCTCCGCTGAAACTTGAACGGTACCCTCAAACAAATAAAGAACAATAAAATGTGTGTCGAATTTATTATAATTGTCATCAAATATAAACATTTGGGTCGAAATTATTTATTAAACAAATAAATAATTGCATTATAAACAATTGTTGAATTGGGTTGGATAACATATTAAAAAAATGGGATAAATTGGGCTTAATTTTTGATAAAAAAAATATGTAAAAGGTGACTTTGGCCAATATTTTCAATAAGGATATTTGTCTAATGAGCCCGATTTGGTAAAGCCCCGAAAAAATAATTTTCAAATTGAACCCAAACACATTATGTTTAACAAAAAAANCCGGTTACCAAAAAAACCCTCGACTTAAATCATTTGAACACTCCATGATACAAGCTCAATTCTCTCATGTTTTCAGCGGATCACGTGTATTTTTTCTCTGTCAAAAATATCTAATATCTCATTTTTCTTATCAATATTTGCCATAATCATGCTCTTTTCTTTGTTTTTCCGGCTATATATTCCGGTCAAATTGAAAAAAATTTCAAAAAATCAAAAATTTCAAACAAAACAGAACTATAACATCAAAATATGTAATTAATATAACTTTGAAATTTTTAGTTGTATTAGTGATACTCCTACACGATTTGCAAATAATTGCAAATTTGTTAGTGACCAACATTTTATTGCAGTTAAATCATTTATGGCATAAATATTTACATATATGTCTAACATATCAGTTACCAATTAAAAGATAATTTATGTCCTTAATACACCCTAATTATACTGTCTTAAGAGAGAAAAAATGATCAGATGCGCCGATATTTTTGACTAGAAAATTGCTAACATACTTCAATGAATCATAAGAAAATGTTCAATATGACGATTATAGTACGGATCTATCAAGATCTATAATGTTTGTTGAGAATATATGTTTTTCTTTAACCGTGTTTTCAGTTGATTTCAGAAGTAAATTAGATATAAATCTTATTTTAATATTTGTTTTGTCGTTTTCTTTCAAAAATTTTGAAATATCTACACAATTTAATTTTTTTGGTCAAAACATAGATTTGTTTTTGCAAAAAATGAACGGATATTGTTATATTTAATAATGTTCTTATGGTTTTTTTGAAAAATATACATGTTGTTTAGTTTCAACAGTCGATCTGCATTTAAATATGAGTCGTATGTTTGGTCTACAAAAAAAAAAAAGATCTTTAAGTACACTTTATTTTTATTCGCAAATTTGTTAAAAAAAGGTTTCGATATTCATTTAAGTTTATTATTAAATATTTAATTTTAAATTTTAAGAAAGTGCGATCAAACAGAGGTTAAAGAACTCAAAAAAAATTAAGAAAAAAAATAAAGCAACGAAAAATTAAAAAAAAAATATCATTCTTGAATATGCAATTACAACAAAAACTAATGACTCATTGTTGTAGCAAATTATTTTTATTTTACCGAGTATCGAATCAAAAGATCCGAACCCCGGGTCGTGTTCTCAAGGAAGGTTAGCCGGACTATTTTGTACGTTTTATTCAATCACTTAAATGAAAATATTCCTAAACACTCTAATTCAATTTGTTGGGATTTGATTATCGACAAAAGTTCTCAAATTAAGCAACTTAAATGTCACAACTTATAAATGCAATTTATCAAGAATAAAAGGATAAATCCAAGAGATGTAAATGACTAGGGTATCGGGGACAATCGTATTCGGTTTTGCATAAATTTGACGGTAAACAATTACTCAGTTAAAAGGCTCGATTAACTAACTCATTTAGTGGCTTTACCATACTAACTCTCGTAATATACGGAAAAACATAGATAAGTAAATTTAGCGAGACAATTAACACATAGACAATACGTTTCCGAACATGTCTATTCTAAACGAGCCGAGTTCGACTAATTTCTCCCCTCTCGGTTTTGAAATCAATTGTTTAGATTAAAATGGTGATCAAGCATTCAATCTTAAAATAAGTAAAACTCGTAAAGATTGAGTAATTGATATACACATAAGGAAAAACTAACCGAACCGATTATCCCTTAACCCTAGTTAGAAGATTAGTTACTCATAATAAGTTTAACATAAACATTCACATTCAAACAAGCCATCATTAACATAGATAAAATGAAATTGATAACTTACTTGTAATGAGACTTCCACAAGAGCAAATGCAAACTTAATCCAAGTACAACAATATCTTCCAACCAAAGTACAAACTTAAGCAACACTTAGGAAAATCTTGAAATGAAATGTAAAGTACAAAAAATGAAAGGTGAATCCATCAACATAAGGATAAAGGATGTATTTATAATGTTTTGATCCTTAAACATCCTATTGTGAGTGCCCAAAAACATGCCCAAAAACTTCCACTAACATCCACCAAAGGAGAAAAGAAGAGGGAAAAAGGAAAAGGAGGGAGAAAATCCTTAAAACAAGGATTCTGTCGGTCTCGCGGCCCGCGGAGGAAGTCGCGGCCCGCGACTTTTCGATCTCGCGGCCGCGACATGATTCGCGGCCCGCGACTTATGCAATCTCGCGGCCGCGAAATTCCCCACGGCCGCGACTTCGAGAGGCAGGAAATCCCACTGTTTAGCTCGCTGCCCGCGACCTTCCCGCTGCTCGCGACCCTTCTCGCGGCCCGCGACCTCTCTCGCGGCCAGCGACATGTAATTTTTTGTTCGGGCTCGTAAACGTTCATCCGGACTCGGAATTGACTTCCGTTTTTTGCTATGTGTCGCTCACAAACTCCTTTATTCATTTATGCTTTCAAACCAGCTTTTCTCGGAAAGAAAACTCGCTCGACTCCCAACCTACCATAAGAAAATCGACAAAACACGAAACATAAAACGGAAAAAATACACGAACAACTAACAAAGACTCAAATAAGGAAGAACACTCAATCAAACGCAAAACGAACTAAAAATGAAAGAAATAACTTAAAAACGGGGAAAACGGAAGATAAAATAATCACGAAAAACATAACAAAAATGGGACAAACACTCATCAAGCCAACCAGATTAAAAAAAACCAAAAAAAGTTTATGAAGATCAAACTTTTTTCAGCTAAGCAGGTAAAAAAGCTAAATTATTTAACCAATATAGTTAAATAACAAATAAGAAAAAAGGGTAATTATTTACATTCTTAAACTTTATGAGAAAAATAAGAGAAATGTTAATTACAGCAAAACCCGTGACTCATAGGGGCATAATATAATTAAATAAGAGAAATAGTAACTGTTTTTTGCGTGAATTGAAAGTAATAAAATTTAATGCTGAAATTTTAGGTGGTATAATATATTTAAATGCATGNATATACAACATCGACACTAATCATCTCCCAATTCCTACGATACCATTCGCAACTCAAAATATCATCATCACGGGGTATTTTAAGAAAGAATCATCACAGCTCAAAGGGGTTGACTAGCGGATATATTTTCACAAAATAAGGGAAAACACAAAAAATGCCTCAATCATATTCATATCGCACAAATCCGACTAATTATTTCAAAGTAGACTCAAGGCAAATTCTGACTGATAATAATTTCGACCAATATCACACAAAAAGAAACGAACATGGCTCAAACCTCACAAGGTCAGAAATTCGTTAATCAAAACAACCAAGTATTTCATCAAGATATATCACTTGTTCATATTATCACATCTTCTCAACTCAATCAACCGTTATTGACTACTCCCACAATTCACCATAGACTATACTCAAAACACAAAATCCTAGAAAGAAAATAAACAATTCTCACACGAAAATCCCCCCCACACTTAGAAATAGACAATGTCCCCATTGTCTATCCGCAGTGTAGAAAAAATAAGACCACGCAATCAACAAAATAAACTGCACAAAAGGAGAGAGAAGGAAAAGAAAAACATACGAAACACAGTGAGAAATCACTGTTCATCCGAAGGAGGTGGTCGTGGAAGGTCGCTCGATCCCGAACCCCAATAGGTATCCCACTGGGTAAAGCGCTGATCCCAATGGTCCATACGAGCGTCGTGCTGATCCTGTCGTTCGCGAATGGACTGGAGACCGTCAGTGAAGTTGTTGAAACGGGAACCCATGTCAGTCCACCGGTCCGTCTGTCGTGTTTCCCAGTCAGCCCAGCGAGTGTTGTGCCGATCCTCGAAATTAGCCCATCTATTGTCCTGGGCGTCAAAACGGTCATGAATAGCCTGGATGTCGGCTGTGTACTGAGTTTGGAAAGAGGTCCATTGGTTTTGGTAAGTTGCCCACCATTCCGGCGGTTGTTGAGGTGGGACTTCGGTTTGATGGTGCTCAGCTGGTTCTGGTTCGGGTGGTGGTAGAAGAAAACGGTCTTCATCCATAGGCATCGGTTCATGCTCATTATCGTCAACCAGTCGGGATGGCCCGGCCTCATCAGTGGTGGGTTCCGCACCTTCCTGGAGCTTCTTGAAATAAGAGTCGTAAGCTTTGCGCTTAGTGTACTCCCTCGGGGTAGTGCGATTCCGAATGAGGTCGGCGGTCCGGAGCTCATGTTCATTAATGTTTCGCATTGGCTCGCCTTCGTAAGACCATGTCGCGTCTATAAAGACAGGCTGATCAGGGATGTCGAAATATTTGGCCAAGGCCGTGACAACATGCCCCAAGGCCGGAATGCCACGTTTGCCGAGTGCCACCTCTTGCAAAGAGTTTTGCAAAAAGGTCATAGAGCACACCTTCACTCCCGAACGCATCGCCCATAAAAGATATAGCTCGGTTTCACTGACCTTGTTTGCCTCCTTCTTCCCGGTGATGTTGTAGGCGATGAACCGGTGTACAAAGGCTGTGGCTAAGTCTTCAATGAGCCCGTTCGGAATGCCACGGGAGTCCCACGTAGTATGGGGAGAAAGTTCTTTCCATCTAAGTTTGGCGTTGAAGTCCACCGGTTTGCTTCGTTTTCCGACGAAATTGAACCCGAAGACTCTCTTCATCACGTCATTATCCACTCTCACATCTTGTCCGCGCATCCGGCAAGTAAAATACTCGTTACCATCCGCGAGTACAAACGAGCTATAAAACTCGAGCATAAGGCTCCGATACGACTTTTCCTCGATCTGGGCATAGTTGAGGAGATTAAGCACCCCTAGGTACTTCTTAACGTCGGCAATAATCCCCAAACTCCTCAACAGATCCCAATCGATAGCTTTCGGCCTCACTAACTCCTTTTGCGAAAGACGGGAGAAAATTTCGCCTTCCTTCCTTGAATAAATTGGAAATGAAGCACCGTATTGTTCTCGGAGGTCTATCCGGTCGCTTCCTTGAGGGGCGTCGCGGTTCCCTTGACCCGAGGATTGGGGCAATTTTCGTTTTCCCGGGTTGGAGGGACCGGCTTGATCGGTATTTGCTTGACGACCCGACTTTTTACCCATGTGGACGTCTTTCGGGCAAATCAACAAACACCTTGTGGGCGGATTTGGGTAAGATAGAGCTTGGTTGAATGCGACAATGGTGAAGCCCAAAAATGCAGCACAACTCAATCAAACAACACTACTTACTGATATTTGGCGTAGATGCTCGTGATTATAGGTGATGGACGCCGGAGATAATGACCGGTTACCGGAGGAGGTTGGTGACGAAGAAGGTGGTTGGTGATGTCAACCCAATCAACAACGCAAATGTAGTGATAGTTGTCGTGGATGCTTGTATTCGCCGGAGAAGATGACACCGGAGTTGGTTGGTGATCGGAGAGAACAACCCTAGATTCCCGACTTGGATCTCCAAATTCCTAGACAATGCTTCCGTGAGGATGATGTAGTGAGAGTGATGAGGGCACGAGTAATTACGCGATTTTTGTGAGGAATTGAAGAGTATGTTGCTCAGTGAAGTCGGAATTCGTAATCGCCGGTGCTGAGAGAGAAAAAGAAAAGCTCGAAAAGTGACCTTGTTCGTTCCTTGACCGCTGCTTAAATCGGGAGTGTCGCGGCCCGCGGAGATACTCGCGGCCGTGACTTAATAGTGCTGGAAAAATTTTTGACGAAGTCGCGGCCCGCGGAGGGACTCGCGGCCGCGACATAAAATGCCTGGAAGATGAAGTCGCGGCCCGCGGAACAACTCGCGGCCGCGACATAAAAAACCTGGAAAGTCCTCTGATCCGGTCGCGTCCCGCGGAAAACTCGCGGCCGCGACATAGAGAATAGTCGCGTCCCGCGACATGGCTCGCGGCCGCGATTTGAAAAGACAGGAAATGCTCCTCGCGACCCCTTCGCGCCGTGACAATTGTCGCGGCCGCGACTTTATTCGCGGCCCGCGACACTTTT